AAGAGAGAGAGAGAGAGAGAGAGAGAGAGAGAGAGAGAGAGAGTCAAACTTTCTCTAAGGGCCCCCTGTTCAAGACAATAACCTGTACAAAGGAACACTTCCCATCCCCCTTTGCGTGTTTAACATTACATTGACACTGTGTAAGACACCAACTTGCGTAAGACAACCACTTTTCTCCTTTTCTCCTTTTCTCCTCGACAATGGGTCACCGTTTTAGACAATTTCGACAATAATTATTAATATTAGTGGGTCGTTGGTGGGTGCTCTGGTGTCGTTTACTCCGTCTCTCCGATCAAACATCAGCTATTGCCCTTAGCTCTTCTCCTTCTTTTCTTTGTATTTACGTCTCGTTGTGACGTCTCTATTTTTCGGCACTGATATAATAAAAGAGGGTGTGGTGGCAGAGCGGTTAGTGCGCTCGTCTCCGAAGCGGAAAGTCCGGGTTCGAGCCTCGGTTCGAACACGAATATTTTCGCCCCCTCCTGCCGACCCAGCAGTAATGCGTACCTGACTTCGAGTTGGGATAGTAAAGACGGCGTGGAAAGGAACTGGCCACCCTACCACAATATGCTGAAGGCCCAGGAAGCTGTCTCACTAATAAGGCAATCCCCAATGTTGTCCGGATCGGATGCGGGAACAAATTTACTTTTTTATATGATAATAATAGCTCGTCCGCCAATGTCTGACGACAACCAATGCATCCACAGAAGAGAATATTATTTCCTCAGCGAAGTAGAAGAATTATAGGTTAAGATGACTTATGGTTTCTGCTGTGGCCGATGAGACCACTTCCCGAAGAGAAAAGTTCGCTACATTTTGAACATTCCACTTGTGGATGTGCGCAGCTTGCGGGCTTCTCTCTTGATTTCAGCATTTCTTACTCGTGAAGCCTTTTATTTTATGATTTGCACATATAAAAGATATTGGTGTTCCAACTGCCTAAGAAGACACCTCGTAGATGTATTGTCGTACTATATTATGTGTCACGACATGAAGAAATCAGGCGCTCGTCATTTTTGGGGGCATGTGGAGATATGTGAGGCAGCGTGGTGGAATCAGGCTCTCGTCAAAATAATCAAAGTGAAGAAACTTACATTTTTTCCACAGGTTTGTGAATTTTTATCAACTTTTGTTTTTTAGCTCAACACCCTTCATGCCCATCAAAGCTTTTCTGAGAGTGGATTATTCTGAAAAGTGTTGATTAAAGGCACAAAAAATGTAAATTTTCAGTTACCACGGACTCCTAAGGTAAGGAAATAAGTAATCTTTGGCGGTCATTTTCTCATAATTGTACCTCTGAAGAAAGGTGACCCTCATCTACTTCATTTCGCAAATATCTCGACTTGTATTCAAGATAAATGGATATATTTTTTCATCCAAATAAAGACAAGTGAACAAGCTTTAAGATGATACCAATAACTCTACATGCCCAAAAATTGACCGGAGTCTGATTCCACCACGCTGCCTCACATATAGGTATCATCTTAAAGTACATTTGCCTTGCTGTCGATGAAAAAAAACACAACCCTAATCTATCTTGAATAGAAGTTGAAAATTTCGGATTGAAGGAGGTGGAGGTCGTCTGGCTTCAGGGAAAAATTAACGAGAATAAGGCCTTCAAAGTTTGGTGACTTCCATAGCTTGAGAGTCCATGGGAACTGAAATGTTACTTTTTTGTGTATGCCTTTAATCAATGTTTCTCTGCAAAATTTACGTTGAAATGCTTTTTTAAATGGACATTAAAGTTGCTAAGTTGAAAAACAAAAATTCAATACAAATTTTCAAACCGGTGGAAAAATGCCTGTGTCTTTGATTTCATTATTTTGAGAAGTGCATCATTTCACAACGACGCCCCACATCACATATATTTTTCATAATTTGTTTCATAATTTTCTTTTCTAGGAGACTTGAGACAGGTTTTCGGCTATGGCAGACAAAGGGGATAAGCCGCCCAGTGATGTCATGAATGAGACGGAAAGAGAGAAGGAAGAAAGAAGGGCACAGCTGCTTCAGCCCGAAAACTTACAGGTACTGTTGGGGTTTTTCTTTAAGGACTGGTGGGGCACCTGAGGTTTATTTTGGCTATTACAAGGCCTAGAGTGCCGATATTTGCTGTGGAACATCGTGTGTTATTGGGGATTTTAAATCAATAGTTCAAAAAGTATATAGTGAGTCGGTTGCTATGGAAACGGCGGCCATATTGGATTTTGTATACCTTTTTCAATCCCATTTTATTTCCTTATTTATTAACCGATTCACTTATAATTTGGCATGCCAACAGTACATATGTAGTTCTTAAATTTGTCATGTAGAATTTTTGATATATGCTTTAGTTTTTATTTTATGACATTTACAATTGAGATGTAGCAAAACACGTGAAAAAAATGGAAAATTCAAGCTTTCTAAGCCCATAAATCAAAAACTTCTACATTAATCAAAAATTCAACAAGCCAAAATTTAAAACTAGGTGTTGTTGGTATCCTGTGAAAGTTACATTAAAATTGAATAAGAAGCAGAGCACAAAAATAGGATAATATGTGAAAAAATAGAATTGTGAGAAAACAGCCGATACAGGTAAGAAAATGCTAGACAACATGTGCTTTCGCAGAAAAACCTGACAACAAAACACAACTTTAGGGTGTAGCAAGGCTTACATACGTTTCTGGATATTGTTCAGGAAGTGTCCAGGTACTATAATATGTAATAAACCCAATTTACACAATTTGACTCCACAACACGATTTCTAGGTGCCCCACCAGCCCTTAAGGTTTTTTGTGCTTTTTTTGGGGGGGGGGGGCAATTATAATCTTCGAGCCATGAATAATTTTGCTTGACGACATTCCCTTCCTCTCTGTCCTTCTCAGTCTGTCAGTCTGTCTGTCTGCCTGTCTATTTGTCTAGAGTTCCCACTAGTATATCAATCTATTTTGTGCTTCTCATCTCCCAGTTATCTCAGCTTTAGTTTATCGAGTCATTAAAATTCTTTCATTAATGCAGGGCACATACAAACCTAGACAAAAGGACTGTCACTCTATATTGAACACGTTTAATTATTATTAAATATGTGTTCAAAGAAAAATGAATTACACTTACATGAAATAATTCAGTAGTCTTTCAGAAGCTGTCGCACAAATCCCCCCCCCCCCCCACACACACACTTTAAAAACAATATTCTTCTTTCAACAGCGCCTGTTGGCCGATGCACTCACTTATCAATCTCCAGTGAAAGATTTGCAGACGATCACACGGTGTGGCGCGAACGTGAACGGGCCTGTGAAGCGCGGGTTGCGCCCCTTGCATTACGCGGTGCACGCCGGGTACCTGGACGGCATCCGCTTCCTGTTGGAGCATGGCGCTGACGTGAACGCCCCGGATGATATTGGTTACAGACCGGTGCATCTGTGTGCTAGGAAAGGTGATGACGGTTTTGGGAGTGGGGTGTTGTTTGGTGGTTTGTTAGTTAGTTAGTTAGTTAGTTAGTTAGTTAGTTAGCTAGTTAGTTAGTTAGTTAGTTAGTTAGTTAGTTAGTTTGTTTGTTTGTTTATAATAATATGCCCTGACGTTTACGCGCCGGACGATATTGGTTACAGACCGGTGCATCTGTGAGCTAGGATAGGTGATGACGGTTTTGGGTGTGGGGTGTCGTGTGGTGGTTTTTTTTTTTTCGTTTCTGTGTTTGTTTGTTTGTTTGTTTTTATGGGGGGGGGGGGTTGTTTGCTTATTTGTTTTGTTTGTGTTGGGTGTGGATGCGTGTGTATGGATGGTGTTGTAACGTTTGGGTGTGTATTTTTTTGTTTGTTTGCAATGCAAGTGTGTTGATGAGTTTCTGGGTTGTTGCTGTTGTTGTTGTTGTTGTTTTGTTGTTGTTGTTGTATGTGTGTGTGCGTCTGTGTGTGTTCGTGTATGCTTGTGTTCATGGGTTGGCTATGACAGACCTGCAGGGTCCGCGTAACCAACTGGACTTTTGTAAAAAGAAAAAAGATGTATGTGGTGGTCATCAAACTATGTGTCACAACACGGTGGAATCAGGCGCTCGTCAGTTTTAGGCTCATGTATGTATTAGTAGCATTTTACAGCTTGTTTATTTGTCTTGTTTGGTTATGACAAAATTACCCATCTGTCTCTTTCTGCCCCCACCCCCTCACCTCCTTTGCCCCCTCCTCTGGGCTCCTGACTCTTTCTGCAGCCTTTCTACTGCTACTCCTTGGCTAACTGCTGTCTTTCTGCCACACCCCTGATCTTCTGGTAGGAAAGATCTACACCTAGCCTTCTCGGACAAAGGCGAAAAATCTCGGAGGCCCATGTGCAAGTTGCGCACGTTAAAAATCCCTTGGTGGTCTAAAATCGATAAGAGTAGGCTTCGGCCGCCACCCGGGCAAAATTCAAAATTTCCTACCAACTGAAAATATTAGGTGTGTCCCGCGCGCTCATATGACCTTAAATGCAGTTGCGAGCGCTAAAAACACTTTACAAAAACAAACAAACCCATCTGTCTTAGAAGTCAAGACTGGAATCAAGCCCTCATCATTAATTTTCTGCATACGGAGTTGTTGCTAGCGTCTTAAAGTTTGTTCATTTGACTCGTTTTTACATCAACATAATAATATCTATGTTACGCTCCTCCTGGGGAGAACGATCTGTCTGTCTCTGGCAAGCTGGAGGGCCCAGCTGGGTGGGATGTTGTGAGTCTTCCGGGTATCCTTCACATCCTCCAATCAGGTCTTCATTGGTCTTCCTCTTGCCTTGTGTACTCTCATATTCGGCCACGTGACAGACATATCTGTCCCCGTCGTTTTATGCAAGAACAATTCTGAAATTATGCAAACTGAGCCCAAAAATGTGAAATTATGCGATTCTGTTATTTTTAACAAAGAATGATAAAGGAAAATAATCAGAAATTATGCACATAAAAAAAGATCAAATTTTGCTAAATTATGCGGGGTGCATAAAACCACGGGGACAGAAATATGCAATATTTGAGCCATGATAAGAGATTTGTGAACAACTTGTAAATTTTCGTTATGGAAACTTTATTTAACAAATGATTGTTTTACATTATATGATGTGGGTCAATGGCCTTAAACACTGAATAAACTTCCCTACTTACTTATTTACTCATATTCTTTTGTATTGCGCTTTACTGGCAAGCTGGTAAGGTGCCATACGTGTCAGATTCTGATGTTCAGAGACAATAATATAATAACACACAATCCCCCCCCC